CAGCTCTTTTCTTGCAGCAGTCACTCTCATTCCTGCTCTGGAACCCAGGGCCTGAAAGAGAGCAGTGGGAATGACTTCTGCTCTCTTGGTAGTCACAAGTCTCAGCATGCCCTGAACTGTGACTTTTTCACCTTTCCTGCAGATAACTTCCTCTTTGGAGTCCTTCTGTATTCGGAGCTTCTCTTTTCTCTCAGTTTCTGAACCAAGCTGCTTAAACCTAGTTCTTCCTTGGAGTGGTGTTGGCTGCATTTGGAATGAGTCACATTGGAGTTCCCGTATGTTTGACATGGTATTGTTGCTGTTCTGTCCCCAGCAGCTCTCTGGTGGTGGCTGCTGCTGTGCTCTCGGTCAGGCTTCATTCAGAACCTGAAGGCTCTTCCAAATTCACTGCCAGTCTTGTTCCTCCTTCACTTGGCTCACTGTGCCTCTGCTTAGCATGCTTTTGGAGAGGAATTTTTCTTCAAAGGAGCACTGTTCTTTATTACTTACATAGGTGTCTGATCAAACAATTTCTTTCTTCTTTCCTTTTAGTGCTGATTTTCCCATTTCAGTACTTGTTTTTTATGCTCCACAGATTTTTAACTTTCTCTCCCAGATGCTCGTCTGCACTAAATTCAGGCAGTGGCTCATGTATTAGCAGCCAAAATAAGTACTGAGGCATAAATTACTGATAAATTCATCTTTATTCTCTGTTTTGTGTTTGCTGCTGCCTCTCACGTGTCTGGCTCTGCAGTTAGTAACAGTCCTGGAACGAGTGATTGCCTTGGCCATAAAGAAAGCCTGAAGGACCAAATCTCTTCTGGATCTGGATCTGGGTCTGGCTCTGGGAATCGGGTATCTGGCTGCTTGGAGAACCTTGTGCTTCCAGGTCTGAAATGCTTCTCCATCTGGTGTGCCCAGATCAGTGTGGAAGCGTAAAGGGGTAGACTTATCTGCTTCAGGACTTAGGCTGGCAGTTTAGTGCTGCTGGAAGGGAGGAAATCATGCTTTTCTGCGTGATCCCCTGTTGTCTCTGCTTGTCTGATTACAAGATAACCTGATCCAAGCTCTCCCTTGTTGAGTCAGAAACAGAGAGCCAAATGGGCTGTCTGTGGTCAGGCAGGCTCCTGTGCTGGCCTTAAGAAGTGCAGAAAAACATGTCCAGGATTGAGGGGGTGTGTGTGAGAACTGTTTTGGTTTAAGCTTTCTCTTAAACCCTTTAGCAATAACGCGTTTAATCCCTTCTTTCAGCTCCAAAAGTCCTGGTTGTTTCTCAGCCGAGGCCCTGTGCAGTACACATGAGCTGGGAGCGTTTGGAACCTGCCTGGCGGTCGCTGTTGTATCCAGTTCCTGCTTCTGACACAAGGTGTCAGTGAAGGACCTGGAGCTGCTTTCCTCTGCTCCAGTGCTGTGAACGTGGATCTGTGCTTGAGTGGAATCTGTTTGGGGCAACCTAATTTAGGAGTCGCCCAGATTTCTACTATCAGGAGATTGGTGAGTCGTCTACAGCTCCTCAAGCTGTGGTGGCCTATCAGAGGTCTGATATTCTTTCAGGAGAATGAAAAGCTGTTGATGCAGTTGAGCAGTGGTGATGCTTTTAAGCAGCAGAGTTCAGTCTAGGACTGGAATGTAAGTTATCAGCTGACTTTACTGTTGGTCTGTGAAGCGCTCTCCTGCAGAAAGCATGCAGAGCCCAGGAAGGGCACAAAAGCATCTTGAACCAGGAATGTCTTTACCCTTAGGTCAGTGTTCCTGAGGCTCCTATTGCTACTACTTCTTCTTGCTTCTACAGCGACAGTGTGGAAAGCTGCTTTCTTTCTGATCTGCCAGTGTTGTAGAGGTGCTTGGTGGGTGAAATCCAGCAGCAGGATATGTCACCTTCTGAGTCATGAGGCTGAGGAATGGCAGGGAGTTGGCTCAAGCCTGTGGGCCTCTTTTGGGAAAGGCCTTCCAGAGACTCTGCATCTCAGTACCACCACTCTGTAAATGCTTTTGCCTCTGTCCATGCAGTTGGCACAGCTGGGGACTGGGATGCCATAGAAACAGTGGTGTGCACTTGGAGGAATGGGATCTGTCCATGGAGTGCTTTTGTTTTCATCGTCTCAAGGATCCTTTTTTCTCCTTGCAGGCTGCCATTGCTTTGAGGTGTTCAGCACATCTCCTTTCACTGAGAGAAGAGCAGGGGAAGCTGTGCTACCTGTCTCTTTTCCATTGTATCATGGAGGTCCTGGAATTTAGGCCCCAAGAAGGTTGGAGCTGGGCTTCTCTTTCAGCATAACC